AAGCAGAAAGGGGTGGGTTGGGGAGTGTGAGTATTTAATTGTATAAAAAGGAATGACTTTATTTCATAGCCTAGGGGCTATAAAGTGGGACACCCGTTTGGAGGCGTTCCTTTTTGGGGGGGGGAGGGGGCAGAATAGATCTTTTGGAACCCCTGCGCCCCCCCAAAAAAACACCCCTTGGCCAGCTTAGGATTTGGGGAGGCGTCGTCCAAAACCGACCCCCCCGGACTGGGTTTGAGGACCGGCAAAAAAATGTGGGTTTTTTGGGTGTGTGTGTGTGTGTGTCCTGGCCCAGACCTTTTGGCTAAGCTGCTCCCCACCGTCCTGCTTGGTTTTTTTGTTTGTTTGTTTGTTTTGCACACACGTGCCCGTGCAAAAAACTCGTGTCTCCCTAGTTTGCTCACTTTTAGGCGCTCCTGGGTTGTTTTCATCATCCTTTGCTGGGGGGGTGGGCTCCTCAGTAGGTCTGTTTCAGAGGTTCTCCCCCTCATGCTTATCTTTTTGCATACCTTGGCATTATCCTAAATCTCTGGATAGTTCGTGTTTTTTGTGGAAAGTGGCATTAGGGTGAGAGTTTGTGGGGGGAAAATTGCTGTTTGTGTGTTGTAAACATGAGGAATATGAGATGCTAACATTTTTTGTGGAAAGTGGCATTAGGGTGAGAATTTGTGGGGAAAAATTGCTGTTCCTGTGTTGTAAACTAGAGGAATGTGAGATGCTACAGGTGGTGTTGGACTGCAACTCCCATTATCCCCCACCAGCTGAGCTGGTGTTGGACTGCAACTCCCATCATCCCCCCCATTAGCTAGGCTGGTTAGATGCAGTCCAACTGGGTCTGGAGAGTCAGGAGTACAATGTTCCCCAGATTCTGATGTATAAAATGGATAAGAATTACTATTTTTTTAAAAAAAGAATAATAAACTAACAGAATTGAAGTTTCCAGTATCCCTCCCACCTTCTTGTAGACTGGTGTTGGACTGCAACTCCCATCATCCCCCCCATTAGCTAGGCTGGTTAGATGCAGTCCAACTGGGTCTGGAGAGTCAGGAGTACAATGTTCCCCAGATTCTGATGTATAAAATGGATAAGAATTACTATTTTTTTAAAAAAAGAATAATAAACTAACAGAATTGAAGTTTCCAGTATCCCTCCCACCTTCTTGTAGAACAGTTTTGGATTTGCAAGCCCACAAAATGCTACACCTTTTGAACATCCAAATGGATAAGAATTACTATTTTTTTAAAAAAAGAATAATAAACTAACAGAATTGAAGTTTCCAGTATCCCTCCCACCTTCTTGTAGAACAGTTTTGGATTTAAAAGCCCACAAAACGCTACACCTTTTGAACATCCTCTTGTTAAGCTACTTAAAAGGAAATTTATGAGAAGCCGTAACAGATGCTGCTACTCAAACAAGTCACTTGCAGGTAGTGCTTCTCATCTTTTGTGAGAGGCAGAGTCACTTACCTGTTTGAAAGAGAGAGAAAAAGGCTTCACAGCTTAAATGCAAGATTTGTGGAAGTGCATTTCTTAAGACAGAAAGGAAGACCTCCATGTAACCTGAAAGCTTGTCTGAAATGTTATTACCCTCATGGTTTCTGCAAAAACTAACATTGTTTGGTTTATATTCCTGGTTCTGTGGGACTCTATTGGCCTGGTTTGAAATCTAGTTTCTTTTTATGTTAGCTGGCTGCATTCTTTGAAAAAAGCTTGATTTGATTTGTGGCAGGGAGGCACTGGGCTGGATCTAGTGAACCATTGACCGTCCTAATATGAAATGTTATTACCCTCATGGTTTCTGCAAAAACTAACATTGTTTGGTTTATATTCCTGGTTCTGTGGGACTCTATTGGCCTGGTTTGAAATCTAGTTTCTTTTTATGTTAGCTGGCTGCATTCTTTGAAAAAAGCTTGATTTGATTTGTGGCAGGGAGGCACTGGGCTGGATCTAGTGAACCATTGACCATCCTAATATTCTGGATTATAGTAGCCACATTCCCTTACCATTGGCCATTGTGGCTAGGGCAACTGGGAATTTAAGCTCAAAATACCTGGGGAAATGGAAGCCTGTGAATGTGGTCTATTTGGGCTGCATCTCATATCAAGTTAATGTGCATTTTTTTCAAGGTCTGACCTTATGTTTATGATCACAGATTTTGATTAAAGTGTATAGAAGCAAGTTCACAGGATTGATTCCATGTAGGTCTTGATTTGGCAGAGACAATACAGCTTCTCCATCTCATGCTTCCCTTTCCACAGTCAATTTGATTTTTATATTGATTGTTTGATGATGTTCACATGTATAGATGTTTGTTTTGTTGTCTGAAGCATGTATGTTCAATAAACAGATTGTTGGCAAGTATTCTGTTAGACTTTGCATTATATCCCCTTCACTGCCTGTGCTACATCTTGCCTCAATATTAGAGCCACTCCATTTCTCATGTGTTTGTCGTTTCTGACACTTTTGTAATTGCCTAACTCAAAATATATCCTGTTCCACTTCATTTTAGCTCACTGACACCAAACATTGCACAGTGTATATGTTCCATTTCTTGCTTTACAGTTTTCAGTTTTGCTTGATTCGTACTTCTCACGTTCCATGTTCCACTTTTACATGCTGGTAGAGCATTGGGCTTTCCTTTCACCTCTGTGCATATCAACCATTAGATAACCTTTCTGTTTCAGTCTAGAGCTGTTCATACTTGCCCGTTGCGCTTCTCTGGTAGCTGATAGAGTGCTTCTGATCTGGGAGTCTCATCTTCTACCACTGTCTTTTCTTTCTTTTTGGAGTGTGTTGTCATAGGGTTTTCATGATAAGGAAGTTCAGCAGGGGTTTACTATTGCCACCTTCTGCCCAGCACTAACAAAAGTTAGCTTGAGTATTACCATGGTTGGCCTTCTCCACCAATGTAACTTATAGGTACTGCTGTTGCCCAGTACCTACCTTGAAGAGGGTTGATGCATCTTAATCGGTGCTGGGGCTCCTGCAACCCTGGTGGGGGCTTCTTCATCTTCTGCTCTAGGGCCACCTGGCTGCCTTCTTGGGGCTCGAAGGAGCCTTCCATTCCCATGTCCTCTGGCTGGCTCAGCTGCTCCTTCCTGGGCTTCGGTGGGGGTGTTGTGGGGCTGCTGCTAGTTGAGTTCAGGGACCTGGGCTTCAGAGGGACAACAGTGATGTCATGGACCTTTTCAAAGTCTGGAAGTACGCATTTCTGATTTTCTTTTCCTTTGGGAACAAAGAAAACATTTATTTTTATAATAAGGCAGGATGGAACTCTTTGTCCTCCTTCAGGGCCACAGTCGATTGCATAAAAACATTGCAGGGGAAATAATGTTTGTGGGAAGTTGTGTTTTTGTCGGTTGCCTTCACCAGGTATGTGAAGGCAGACATTTATTGCCCTTTCTGTGCAAGTTTGCACCTTACTGTTAAATACAGTTACCCAGAAAAATGTGTATAGAACCATATCAATCTTTGGTCTGCTCTTGGAGCAGCACTGCATTCTTTGATCCTCCTTACGAAATGGCTGCTGAAATATACCTTCACAAGCCTATCTTTGTGATTCTTGACTTGACCTGATTCTTTTTTTTTCTTTGTAATTTTCGTAGGGTGTGTGCTGTTGGTCACTATGGCAGTGCCTTTTGTGGAGGACTGGGATTTAGTGCAGACTCTTGGAGAAGGCGCTTATGGAGAGTGAGTATGTGGAGCACACAATTTGTAGAGGATAAATAATAAAGATACCAAATTGCAGGACAAAAAATCTTCTAAAGGGTCAAAACAGTGGGACCAATATAAGTGACTATTACAATGTTCCTTGGCTCAAATACTTGAATGGTGGTCATGCAGAGGAGCGACAGGATCCGTTCTCAGTCACCACAGAGTGACAGGTAATCCTGGGCGCAAGTTACAGGAAGCCAGATTTAGGCTAAATATCAGGAAAAATATAATGGTTAGAGCAGCATGACAATGAAACCAATGACTTCAGGACGTGGTGAGCGTTCCCAAAGTGGAGGCATTCAAGAGAAAATGGGACCACCCTCTGTCACACCTGCTTGGATTTGGATCTTATGGAGAGTGAGTATGTGGAGCACACAATTTGTAGAGGATAAATAATAAAGATACCAAATTGCAGGACAAAAAATCTTCTAAAGGGTCAAAACAGTGGGACCAATATAAGTGACTATTACAATGTTCCTTGGCTCAAATACTTGAATGGTGGTCATGCAGAGGAGCGACAGGATCCGTTCTCAGTCACCACAGAGTGACACATAATCCTGGGCTCAAGTTACAGGAAGCCAGATTTAGGCTAAATATCAGGAAAAATATAATGGTTAGAGCAGCATGACAACGAAAGCAATGAATTCAGGACGTGGTGAGCGCTCCAAAAGTGGAGGCATTCAAGAGAAAATGGGACCACCCTCTGTCACACCTGCTTGGATTTGGATTTCTCCTTTGAGCAGGGAGGGGACCTGACGCCTACACAATTTGTAGAGGATAAATAATAAAGATACCAAATTGCAGGACAAAAAATCTTCTAAAGGGTCAAAACAGTGGGACCAATATAAGTGACTATTACAATGTTCCTTGGCTCAAATACTTGAATGGTGGTCATGCAGAGGAGCGACAGGATCCGTTCTCAGTCACCACAGAGTGACACATAATCCTGGGCTCAAGTTACAGGAAGCCAGATTTAGGCTAAATATCAGGAAAAATATAATGGTTAGAGCAGCATGACAACGAAACCAATGACTTCAGGACGTGGTGAGCGCTCCAAAAGTGGAGGCATTCAAGAGAAAATGGGACCACCCTCTGTCAGACCTGCTTGGATTTGGATTTCTCCTTTGAGCAGGGAGGGGACCTGACTCAATGGCCTTCTAGGCCCCTTCCAGCTCAATTCTATGATTCTACTGGGCCATTCTAAAAAGTTTCTAGAGAGGAGAGGCATACTCTAAATGGTGGACAAAGTGTAAACTAATTCCTAATGTCAGCTAATGATACGTAGTGTAAAAATCTTCTCTAAAAACCTTTTTCCCTCTCTCTCTCTAGAGTTCAGCTGGCCGTGAATAGACGCACTGAAGAAGCGGTGGCAGTAAAAATCGTGGACATGAAACGGGCTTTAGAATGTCCAGACCAGATTAAGAAAGAGATCTGCATCAACAAAATGTTAAATCATGAGAACATTGTCAAGTTCTATGGGCATCGGCGAGAAGGAACTATCCAGTATCTCTTCCTAGAATATTGCAGTGGTGGAGAGCTCTTTGACCGAATAGGTACAAGGGGATTTTGTTGGGATAGGAAGCTGATCCGAGGTAGGGTGAGCCAGCTGAAGAGTGAGATGGTTAAGTTGCTTTAGTAATGTAGACACTTACATTGAGTTCCTTGGCACATCCAAGGGATCCGCTGAGATCTGCTTAGCTTTAGATTTATGTAGACGCTGCTTGGATTCAGCCCAGAGTGGCTAGAAAATGTAAACAAATACTAAGACACAGTATCCTGAAACTGCACTGCTTTTTGAAATTCCATATGTATGGGCCTTATTGCAGAGGCATTTTCTCAGTTGCTGCCCTGTACTTGCAGACATAATTTGCATGGCAGACCGTTGTTGTTTTTTCCAGGATCATTCTGTTGCTTAGTTTGGGCCTGGGAGTTTTGTTGTCTTTTCAGTTTTGCCCAGCCTTTAAGAATAGAATAAGATTTAAAGTGAATTAAACTGTGTTCTAATTTTGGAGGTTTTCTTGAGGTTTTGATCATTCTGTTCCCTGGGCTGTTTTCCTAGTGTATCTGTCTATGTCTCAAAAGCATATCCACAGAGTGGATAAAAATCAAAGGTTTTAAAAAAATGAAATGGATTTAAATCATGAATTAATTCATGATGTAAATAAGAGAAATCAGTCTTTGGATTTAAATCATTAGAAAGTCCAATTTAAAAAAAAATGTAAATCATAATTTAAATCAGTTTGGTTTAAATCAGATTGACTTTGGATCAATGTATGTTCTGTTAGCTTCCACATGATGGTATGTTCTCTTCCCACAGAGCCTGACGTAGGGATGCCTGAAGCAGATGCACAGAAATTTTTTCATCAGCTTATCGCTGGTGTAGTAAGTTTTTTTATGCTTCTAGTTTAAGCCCAAATTCTATTTCATTTGAATTCAGAAAATGGCTGAGCTTTCTTTCTTTCTTTTCTTTCTTTGAAGGTCTATCTACACAGTATAGGAGTAACACATCGTGACATTAAGCCTGAGAATCTGTTGTTAGATGAAAGAGGTGAGAGAAAAATTGTGTTGCCTTAGTGGCCTGCCAAATGTCTTTTAGAAGTAATGTAAGGAAGACGTGAAAGCAGCAAGTCCACACTGTTTTTTGGCCATTAGCACCCAGCAGTATTCTGCCACTGGCTTCGGGACAATCTGTTTGTCCTTGCCTTTGCTTGTTATTCATTTGAAGCCACAAAATGAGAGAATACAAAATACTGCATTATTTTATTTGTTCAAAGTATTTATTAGTCAGTCCAAAAAAAAACCCACACAAAATGAGAGAATACAAAATACTGCAATATTTTATTTGTTCAAAGTATTTATTGGTCAGTCCAAAAAAAAACAATATGCAGTAAGAGAAAACCAAAGACAACATGAAAACAAATACATGTTAGTGCATGTTGGCATAAAACGAACACAGCAAAACGTTAAACAAATGCATGTGAAATTATGTTACAGTGGTGCCTCGCAAGATGATTTTAATTCATTCCGCGAAAATCATCGTTTTGTGAAAAAATCGTCTTGCGAGGTTCCCTATGCATCGGTCTTTTAAAAAAAAGTCTTGCGAAGCATCAAGTCTAAAAAAGAATGTCTTGCAAAACATCGGTCAAAAAAAAAGTCTTGTGAAGCACGGTCATAGAAAAAATGTCTTAGGAGGCACCATAGTGATCACAAAAACCAAGCGTTTTGCGGGGTTTTCATCTTCTTTTAAAAAAAAGTCTTGCGAAGCATCAAGTCTAAAAAAGAATGTCTTGCAAAACATCGGTCAAAAAAAAAGTCTTGTGAAGCACGGTCATAGAAAAAATGTCTTAGGAGGCACCATAGTGATCACAAAAACCAATCGTTTTGCGGGTTTTTCATCTCGTGAGGCAATCGTCTAGCGCGGCACCACTGTAGTTTGTGCAATACACTTAAAGAAATGTAGGGGTAAAAGATATTTTAAGGCGCCTTTTGAGAATGCCAGAAAGGAAGGAGCAGAAGGGCAATTTGACAACAGTGGGAACCTCCTTAAGACCATATTTTCTGCTTACCTGTCTTAACTGGTTTCACCAACAGGACCTGAGCATTAGAATCAAAGGATATTTCTGCATATTCATGTCTGTGAGAACTAAAATTATTATTTATCCAAGTGATAGCTCTGCCTTGCTCATTCTTTTAGACTGTTTCTGAGAGTTCATATGCTTAGATTCATTTTATTTTAATTGGAAATGATGAAGTAGATCGACAAATGTTGTAACCCTTTTTTGTTTGCGTTTCCTTAGATAACCTCAAAATTTCTGACTTTGGGCTAGCAACAGTGTTTAAATACAATGGCCGCGAACGATTGTTGAACAAAATATGTGGCACGCTCCCCTATGTTGCCCCAGAGGTGCTTAAAAGAAAAGAGTTTCACGCTGAACCGGTTGATGTTTGGTCGTGTGGCATAGTACTCACAGCTATGTTGGCAGGAGGTAAGAAGTACCCAAATTTTAGTTCATTTTGTTGACTTGGTTTATCACAGATTTTTTTTAAAGCTCCTAATGATGTTTAGGCAACAGTAGCACAGACTGGCAGTAAACCTGATACTTTACCTGTTTGTAATTCAGGATTTTTATTTAGAACTCTAACCGTGCTCTGAAGCACTGAGGCAGATCATGGCATTGCTTTGCACCTAAAGACGTTCTGTGGAAGAGTTGTTTAGAATATTCTTGCAAATAACTTAATGGAAACTCCCTTGTATCTTTTATTTATCCCCATAAGTGCAGTAGGCACTACCATCCTTCTCTTCTTTGTCTTCTTTTAATGTATTTTTTAAAAAATGATTATAAAATAATCTAAATTAAACAAAGAAAGAACACCCTCAGAATCAACAACAAATATAGTAGCAATACATCTCTAACCTTCGTTTTGTCCGAAGACAATCTTCCGTGGTCACATGGCCAGTGCGACTTAGACACGGAACGCTGTTACCTTCCCACCGAGGTGGTCCCTATTTATCTACTTGCATTTACATACTTTCGAACTGCTAGGCTGGCGGGAGCTGGGACAAGCGACAGGAGCTCACTCTGTCGCATGGATTTGATCTTACAGCTGAAGATCTACAGATCTTACAGCACAGAGGCTTCTGCGGTTTAACCCGCTGCGCCACCACGTCCCCGCTAAATTAAGCAAAGAACACCCTCAGCATCAACAACAAATATAGTAACAATACATCTCTAACCTGGTTTTTCTGGCTGAGATACAGTAGCCCTGTAAAGATACTGATAGCTTATGTAGTCATGGAGTGAAATCCAGTTAATGTCCTCCAATTATTCACATCTAGGATGTACCTGGCACACAATACACATTTATATAAAAAAGTTCTTTTAATTATCCATACAGAAGATCAGTGGTTCATAGTCATTTTTACAGAAGTGAATCTATGACCATTTGTAGTGAGAACACTGTTTTATTTCCTTTTGCTCTCCTACAGAGATGGGGCAAATGTGGACTTCCATGTGTTGATTTCAGCTCCCATTGTTTGTCAGCATTGGCTAGGCTGGTTAGTGCTGATGGGGCTTGCAGTCTAACGATGTTTGAAGGGATTTGTATTCTTGACCCTTGTTCCATCACAAAGGTGGCATGTATACAGCTGTTACATAGTCACACCATTATTTGAAGGCGTTTTTAAGAAAACATGAATGGAAAAAAATTTTCTGAGGCTAATTTCTTTACTGGATGCTGCTTTGCTAATCTAAGAAAACAGTCAAAGCATTTTAAAGGTGTTAATGACCCTTTTCCAAACTACAGTGGTGCCCCGCGTAACGAGCGATTCGTTTAACAACGAATCCACATAGTGATTGAGTTTTTGCGATTGCAAAAGCGATCGCATAACGATGTTTTAAATGGCAAAACATCGCTTTGCGATGATCGGTAAGCGTTTCGCTTACTGATTTTCGCATTGCGATGTTTTAAAAACAGCTGATCGGCGGTTCCAAAATGGTCGCCGGGTAAATAAAATGGCCGCCCTCAGTGTTTTCGTGCCCTTTCCTCGCTTACCGGGCAGCGAAAACGGCGGCCGCATGGAGGTGAGTTTTTTGCCCATAGGAACGCATTAAATGTGTTTTAAAGTGTTCCTATGGGCTTTTTTGCCCCGCATAGCGACGAATCCGTATAGCAACGATTTTTTCGGAACGGATTATCGTTGCTATGCGGGGCACCACTGTATATATCTGCCGGTCTTGAAATGTTCACATCCATCGGACTACAGTCCAGTGTCTCAAATGCCTTGGGTTCCCTTCCTCATCTCCCAGATACAAGCCGTTTTAATCTAATAATGTGCTTTCTGTTTTTTCCTTGGAGAATTACCGTGGGACCAGCCTGTTGACTCTTGTCAAGAGTATGTTGACTGGAAAGAACAGAAAACTTATATTTCACCGTGGAAGAAGATTGATTCATTGCCACTGGGTATTTCATTTTAACTGTCTGGTCTTATTTTCTGCTTTATGGGCATGGCATAGTGGATTTGCTAAGGACATGAGCCCAGGTTCTATCTGTCAGAGAAAATGTAACTTTCAAAGAGAATGATTCTTGCAATTGTTGGGGGCATTTAGGGTTTCCCCCCCCCCCGAGTTTTGATGAAATAGAAATATTCTCTCAAAGCACATTTTAAGGACTCTCTGTTTAGTTAAAAGCATTGTTAGCGAGTAGAGACATCTTCTAAAGTCATTGACCTTGTATAACCAGATTTTATTCCACCCTCACCAGCTTTACTCCTCAAAATATTAACTGAGAATCCCACGTCAAGACTTACTATAGCAGACATAAAAAACGACAGATGGTACACAAAACCTTTAAAGAAAGGTAAGTGGCTTTTTAGCATGTTCAGCTGCGTCTTTGACTGGTTTCACCACCTCTGCTAATGGTTTGATGGCATAGTTCAATAGATGAAATAACAGGACTACTTTATATTTTTAAAGTTCTCATTTGTTCGTTGGGGGCCCAATCTATTTTATTTGAAAGATAGTACAGGGATTTAAAACAGGGGCAAGGGAAGATGTGGTCCTCCAGATGTTCAGCAGCAACCTCTTTCATCCTTAATCATCATGCCTGGTGGAGAGGGATGATTGGAGTCACAAGCCACAAAGCATGGGGGAACCACATGTTCTACAATCACACCCTTCCATTTTTTCCTTTAAAAATGCCATTTTGGAGTGGTTCCATTTCTCAAGTACTGCTGTTTTATCCAGTGTATGTGTTCCACCCATATGAAGAGGGCATATATGAAGAGTCAAGTTAGCAAATAATTCCGAAGAGCCTATTTGTGAGCATAGCATTTTCAGTCTGGCATTAAAAAAAATAGCAATTGACTTCAGAAATCTTCAGTCCTCAACAGTAGAGGATTCAACACTCTTCTCCAAAGCAGTGGTTAGAGCATGTTCTCTTCTTTAGGTATAAAGCGGTCTCGGATGTCCTCGGGGGGAGTTTCTGAATCCCCAGGAGGTTTTTCCAAGCACATTCGATCGGATATGGACTTCTCCCCAGTGAAAAGTGCACACAGGTGAAGATGAATGTGGGCATATAGTTTTATCATGGCAGCATCTGATGTCAGTCCTTACCCTAGATTGTGGTATACAGATAGAGCTGTGTATTCATATGATTTTGTTATGTGTAAGTGAATAAACTGCACACAGTAAACTGGCACTCCTATTTTGGATTTGGGTTACGCTTGTCCAAAAGGACCTTAAGGACCCAGACATCCATCTGTTCTGTATCAATAAGTGTATCTTTCAGTTTGTTCTGTGCAAGTACCAGGCTTGGGCCACTTATGAGAATTTTGCTTAAAGAAATATCAGTCTCTGTTTAAGCTATGTGAAAGGGCTACAGTCATAGCTTATATATCTTTTGTGTTGCCACGAACATCCAGTGGCCAGAATCCTATTGCATAATTGCGCATACAGAACAAGGTAGCTTGCAGTGGCTTCTCCCTGGAAATTAGTGAGTCTGTTTTTGGACATGTGCCAACGTTCCAGACGGATGTACACCTGAAAATTCAAGTACGGATTAGTTTATTAGCAACTAGAAGCTACTGCAAGTTACACAATTTGTGTCCTGCAGTCATAAGTACGTATTAGGATTTTGACCAATGTAGAATACAATGAAATATTTTTTTAAAATCAAAATAGTTTTTAATTGGTTTGTGGCATATATGAGCAGGCATATGTGGTGACTCATTGTTTTGAGTTTGTAGAGATCCTTTCTCTTCTATCCATCCTTCCAAATCTCTGAGCATGTAGCACATACATTTTCTGAATTACAAAATGTGTATATACTTAGAGGAGAGCAGCTTGGTGCTTTTTAGGGAGCTACAACGTTTTTGTCGTTTCAATTTTTCTTTTGAAAAATTAAATGTTAAGCAAGAACCTCTAGAAGAGTGGTGAGCCTGTGCTTATGTACCTGAGCCAAAGGCCTATTGAACACCAGGGAGTTTTAGCTCTTATGTAGATAAGCATAAAAGCCCTGCTTTGTTGTTTTTATTGCAACAAAACAAAACTAATAACTGCCCGCCCTTTTAGTGCCATTACCGTATCAGACCCTGTGGGTTAGCAGAGGTGGAAGTTAAGCATTCGGAATAAACAGGATTGGAGATGGTGATGTCCTCTAATGATGCAGTTGTGTTTTTTTATTATCAATCAAACAAACAAACAAATAAATAAAAGTGTTCTGGAAATAGTTATTTCCTTCTTGTATGCTATTTCTGTTTGTGATTATAATTTTTATTAATGATTGCAGTATATTTGCTTTTATTTTGTGGAAACACAAGACATTCCATCATGCACAGGTAGAAATGTGTGGATGGAAATACACAGTATATTTATTTGCTAAATCATTTTTTTCCTGTCCCACCCCATCTAGTGGGGAGCCACTCTTCTGGTTGACTTAGAGCAGAATATAAACAGGTATTTCTGCTATGTGGCAGTTAATAGTGGTATGATTTGGATCAATAATCTGTTGTGGTATTGCAGCTGGTCCTGCTGCTTTTGCATTATTTCTTGTAGCACTTTTTTCTTTCCATTTCATTCCACCCCCACCCCCCATATTGTTTATTTTGTCTCACTGCAGACCATGTTATTTATAAACAACTTATGCCTGAAGATTTCAAAGGGGTGTGCAATATTAATAAAGCATATGCTGTAAAATATATAAAAATAGACAGTATCTGCGTTATCCACAAACTATAGGATAGGCTGAGATTCACTGGTAGGGCTTGCAAAAAATAAAAACCAGGGAATCTTAAATTATCAGGGAGAAAGATATTCCACATGGTGATTGCTATTATGCCAGGTGTCCATTTGGGTTCTGAATTTTAAAAAGTTTTTTTTTTTGAAACCAACCTCTGTCCTAGCCCACAGTTTAGCTTTCAGTTTAGACACACGCTGTTTTGAAAAGTATCGATTGCTCTGTTTCCAGGTGATTTAGAGCATTACTTTTCTTTTGTTTTAGAACCCGTGGCAGCGCTTGGTGAAGAGAATGACCCGGTTCTTTTTGAAGTTAGATGCTAATCAGTCTTACCAGATCCTGAAGGACGTTTGTGAAAAAATGGGATACATCTGGAAAAAAGGTTGCGCAAACCAGGTATAAGAGTGGTGAGGGTATTGATAACAATTTTTATGTTTTCTGATTTTCAGTTTTGGGAAGTAGGCACAGAATATCCTGTAGATATTGAGTATGAGTAAAACTCAATATCTACAGATATTGAGCCGAGTAGAATTGAGTAAAATTCACTTCATTGAATGTAAGATTTATTGGAAAGTCCTTTGGCCAGATATGTGTCCAATTTGATTGCTACTATTTTTGAGAGAACAGTGGCTTTTAAGGTTGCTGCCCTCTTACTAGAGAGAAAGCTGTATTGAACATTTTCAGAACTGATTTTTTTGTAAATGATTAGATTGCATTCTAAACCTTTATTTCTGATAAAAGTTTTTTCCCCCTTGTAAGGTCACCATATCAACAACAGACAGGCGAAATAACAAACTGATTTTCAAGGCAAACCTGGTAGAGATGGATGACAAAATTCTTGTGGATTTCCGTCTGTCTAAGGTAGGCCAATGAACTGGATTCCAGCCTAGATGCACTAAAAGCATCTCAAGTTTGTATCCATTGAGACCATGTTACAGTGATGGTGATGATCTGACTTATGGGGACCCTTGCCAGGGTTTTCTAGGTAGAGAAGGCTCAGAAGCGATTTACCATTTCCTTCTTCCGAGGGCATTCAAGGTCACACAGGGTGGCTTTTCTCACAGTGAGGAACCAAACTTCCGACCTTCGGCTCTGCAGCCAGCTACCTAAACCACTGAGCTATTCAGCCAGACTCTTACAAAAGCACTACCATTGATTTATCTGTGTTAAAAATAACACTTTGTTTAATTTTGAATGCAAACTTGTTTTGTTTTCATTTGAATCTATCCATTCCTCCTCTTTATGCTATGGAAACTGTTATATGGTCTGTATAGATCAGTGGTTCTTAACCTTTGTTACTCGGATGTTTTTGAACTGCAACTCCCAGAAACCCTAGCCAGCACAGTTGGTGATGAAGGCTTCTGGGAGTTGCAGTCCAAAACTCCTGAGTAACCCAAGGTTAAGAACCAGTGGTATAAATCAACAATATAAATTAACATTTCTGCCTTGCCAAATATTCATCTCGTAACATTGTTCCCTTTCTGAACTGTAGATGGCACAGCTAATACGAAGCATTCCATCCACCTGCACATTTATTTTGGTATTTTATTTTAATTTTTGTGTCTTTTTAATGCAGGGTGATGGTCTGGAGTTCAAGAGACACTTCCTGAAGATCAAGGGGAAACTGAGCGACGTTGTCAGTGCACAGAAGTTATGGCTTCCAGTCACATGATCACATTGTGATTGAGAGCAGGTCCATTTTTGATTCTGCCATGGGACGTCTCTTCCTTTCATGTGCTGTTCTTCAGAGGCACAGTGGACATTCATTTTAGTTTTCAGGTGACAGGTGTACAAGCAATCTGCATAAGATGATGGGTAATGACTACTGTGAAGATGCACATTTGCAAAGATTTGCTAGGATATCTCTCTCATGTCACTGTGATCATGAGAGTGTCTTTGTTGAAGTTTCATTTTGTAAGTCATTCAAAACTTTTTGTTAGACATCTTGATCCAAATGCATATGTTTTCTCCTTTTTTCAAAGTTCCACAGTTGCAAAATAATACACACTGAGTGTATCTGTGAACTATTTCTTTTTAAAGGGTGAGAAAAATCATCCCCTGTCTGCTTAAACCAACATTTCTGCCCACCCCCTCCAGTTTATTTTATATAGATGTGATTAAGGCTTGACAAGTGCTGAGGATCCAGAGTGAAACTCAGAGCAGAACAGTTGGTTTAATTTATAATTAGTTTCCTGTCCAGGACTGTTGAATGAAGCTGTGCAATTCTGTAGTTTAGGCTGGTATTTTTTTTTACTTGTTCTGTTCTTAAAAAAAAGAAAGAAACAGGGCACTATAAGATATTAACACTGTTTATTCTTGTTTTAAATATTAGCTGTTTTCAAGGTTTAGCTCCTTTCTCACTCCGCCAGACATTTCCTTACATTTGTTAAGGCTCTGAAATAGAAGTGGTGTGAACAGCAAGATGTGAGATGGAATTCCTCTTGTAGACGTCAAACATTTTAGTCCGTGTTAAAGGTGCCTTAGTCCTTTCTTGAAGAAACAACAACCATGTGTCAGATTGTGATTATACTTAAGTGGACCATTATAGGCAAAGTGAAGTGTAAGGTCACAGGACACAATCCTAGTCATACTGTACAAGAATGTGAATTTTTAAAGTGTCTGTAAGAAAATAAAATAATGCACAAAATAAAGTATCTTCTAAAACTGAAGAAAAGCAGCTGATGTCTTGAGTCTATTGTAGAAGAGTGTATTCTACTTCACTCGAAAGAAGAGTATGTGATACTGTTATTGGGCCACTAAAATAACAAAATCGGTTGAGCTTTCAAATCAGGCTGGGCAATGGAGAACATGCAGGAGCAGGGAGAAGAACAGATACATCCAAATATTATCCAGACTCAAAAGTGGCATCTTCAGGATCTGAGTTAAAGTGTTAAAATAATGTACCAGAGTAGAGGATGAAAACTTGTAAAAGCAGTTTATGGAATTAGGTTTTTCGTCAGGCAATGTAGACTGGATTCCTCCCCCCATGTCTATACAGTACATAGTACATTGTCTGTTGCCTGATGTTGAAGCATACAGTTCCTGTTTGGCTGTAAGACGCACACAGAAACATGGCAATCTCCACATCAGAAGAACTGGAAGTTAAAATATTGGCACACTAGGGAAGAAACATTGTTCTCATTATGCTTTTTCTGTTGCAGGAGGGGAAGAGAGGGCTTGAAATAATAAGACTACCCTGTTTCCCTGAAAATAAGACCTAACCTGAAAATAAGCCCTAGTAGGATTTTTCAGGATGCTTGTCATATAAGCCCTACCGCAAAAATAAGCCCTAGTTAAGTGAAACCTCACCCTCCACCCTTGTGCAGCAACCAGAAGAAGATGACGTGACTGTATTTGAATAAATGCAGATTGTTGTACATGTAAATAAAATAAAACATCCCCTGAAAATAAGCCCCAATGCATTTTTGGAGCAAAAATTAATATAAGACCCTGCCTTATTTTCAGGGAAACACGGTAGCTTCCATTGGGGTTTACAGGTGGTTTACAGGTGGTGCCCACATCAAACAGTGTGAGAAGAGTGTCAGCCTTAAATTTGTTTCTCTGCTGGAAGAAAGGAAAAGCACCAGCTGCTATAGTCTTTCTAGACTAAGGCTTCTTAGATACATGAACTTAAGAATTTCTCATGCCTTAAGCAAAATCTGTATGCCAGTTTTGTGGCTGTGGTATTATAAAGAAGCTCCTTTTTAGATGAGTGGAATTCAAGTTTGTTTTTTTTAGTATGTGCTATGGCTTTTTTAAAAAAATTGCCCACTTACGAGTAATGGAACACTAATTTTTTTTTGTTGATTCCCAGTGTGGTGCAATGGATATAGAGTGATGGACTAGGACTTGGAGGTACAGGGTTTGAATCCCTGCTCAGCCATGGAAACTCATTGGGGGAGTAAAACTAATCAAATATTTAATATCTCTTGAAAGCCTTCTTAGGGTTGCTGTAAGTCAGTTTCAATTTGATGGCATCAAAAAACAATATTTTTTTTCTTTCCATTCGTGTCCAATATTAATATTGTCAACCTGGTGTACAGTTGTATCTGCAGGGATATTTACTCCCCCATTAAACTTGTTTAGCTACCTCCCTCTCTATATTTTCCTGGATTGAAATACAGTATAAGGAAGATGGTTTTGCCTTGTACAGTACTGTATCCTTTTTTTGTCTTGATTATTCAAAGTGTTGGCACGCAGAAGTAAAAGGTAAGAGGCTAAAAAGAGCTGTTGATGTTTATAAATATTGATAGGTTGGATTTTATATACTTTGGGATGTTTGCTTGTGCAGTGCAATATATTTGCATACGTTTCAGCTGGAAATACATGTAAATGAAATGAAAGAACGAGTGGGTACTGAGATCGAAAACCATAATTTTTTTAACCCACAAAAAGGGGCAGAGAAACAGTGGAGCTAAACTTCAGTTATCTACAGTTTTAAAAACATAATTTTAATTATGGTTTTTAAGATGTTGAATGCTGTTAATGACATTTTGGGTCCTGGAAAAAAATATTGTGAGTATTTGCATTTTACAGTGAAGATACACTGACTGGGTTAAGACTGAGTTGTTAGTGAGGGGTACAAGGGCACATTGACAAGTGATCTTTTCATATACTGGACCACTCCCTATGGCTTATGGCTATTCTAAATATACCTTGTGTATCTTGGCTCAATGATGTCTGACGCTCTCTCCCTAGATGTCGAGCTGGACAAATGCATTGGCAAAATCAGCTATGAGCTGCCATGTTCTCTAGACTCACAAGGGGAGTCTTGCTTAATAAGAAGCTGGCGGCACATACCAAGATCCAGGTCTAGAGAGCCTGTGTCTTGAGCATACTCCTGTACTGCAATGGGTCCTGGACCCTTTATGAATGCCAGGAGAGGAAGTTGAACATGTTCCATATGCATTGTCTCCGACACATTTTTGGTATCACCTGGCAGGGCAAAGTTCCAAATAGAGTAGTCCTGGAATGAGCTGGAATTTTTAGCATGTATACATTACTGAAACAGTGATGTCTACTTGGTTTGGGCATGTCATGAGAATGCCTGATGGTTGGATTCCAAAAGATCTCCTGTATTGAGAAGTAGTGCAGGGAAATCGCCCCAGAGGGAGACCCCAGCTGTGATACAAGGAGATCTGC